AAGCCCCTTCCATTCTCTTTTCCTGACAATGAGTACATTCCACAGTACATAATAGTGAATATTGCAATAAAGGAAAATTGGCAATCAAATTCAAAATCTTAATTTGATGGCTTCACTTCCGGACCCTTTCGGCCATCTTGTATCATCATTTCCAGAAGATTACTTTCAAAAGTTCGACCCTTGAAAGCTGAGGAATATATTACATTAGCCGCCGAAACCACACCATAACCAACCAGATCAGCTAATCTGCAGAGTAGTACCAAATAAATAAGCTTTTTTAAGCGTAGATCAACTTATTTTCAGTATACAAGTAGTACCATATAAATATTACATATTGCACCTTCATATTCATTTTTGAGATATAAATTTGGAAAACATCATAAATCCACACAGGAAGTTCCTCATTTGTACCCATGTTGGTCAAGCGCATAGCCACACTACTAAAAACCCCGTCTCTAAACTGAATCCTCATCACCACTTGGATTCGAATGGTTTGGGGCCCTAAAGTCACTAGTAATCGTAATGACATCACCTAAAGAAGTAACGGATTTATCTAAATGTTGCACAGCTCAAAACTTGGAGCAGCATTGTAATTGGACGTTCTTAAAATTTATGGACCTAGAAAAAACTCGAGGCACCTACATATATAATCTTAATAGTATTCTCTCACCGTGATTTAGAACTATGATAGTATTAAAGTACGCTAATATTTTGTTGCAGCCTTAAATCCTTCATCTGCAATAGTGAGAAGAACAAGTCTAATCATCTACTCTCAAATTGGTGCTTAGAACATGCTAATTCAAGGTCACATGAACAAGATAAAAACCAACGACAAAAACTATTATATAACATAATGTATTATTATATACTGGATAGTGATAGGAAATACTTGAAATCAAGTAATTCCTTTATGGACCAAGAAAAAACTCGAGGCACCTACATATATAATCTTAATAGTATTCTCTCACAGTGATTTAGAACTATGATAGTATTAAAGTACGCTAATATTTTGTTGCAGCCTTAAATCCCTCATCTGCAATAGTGAGAAGAACAAGTCTAATCATCTACTCTCAAATTGGTGCTTAGAAAATGCTAATTCAAGGTCACATGAGCAAGATCAAAACAAATGACAATAACTATTATATAACATAATTTATTATTGTATACTGGATAGCTTTGTTAAAGCTTTGCTGATCTGACAAGCCATCTCAAGAGCTGCTACTAATTTTGATACAGGGAGTCTAATGCTCCCTGTTAATAACCTGTAAGGCTCCCAATGGTTTGGAAGCATTATCCATTTGTAAGTTTATAATAATTGATATAGGGGGAAACAAAAATAAGGTAAAGCCAAGGGCACTAGTTTTCTACGACAAAACTTCTGATAAATTTAGCTAATTAACTCCATCTATTATGAGTTTAAAGGGAAAAAATGGTTATTGTTGAAGGAGCTATTAAAAATGCAAATATAATAGATATACACGTGATTTCCTTCTTTCATGCCAAAAACTCAATATTGCTTTACTTCATATAGAGGATAAAACAACTGGCATAAAGGGAAAAACTTACTGATTAGGGCCCATCGGCATGCCAAATTTTCTGATTACTCTATCGATTCTATAAGGGTCAACTCCAAGATGTAAAACCAATGCTGATG